CAATGATAACATAATTGATTCAACCCCCCCCCCCCCCGAGTTTCCGTCTTCCGCCATTTTGGAGAGCATCACAATGCATATGCACGCTTTCCCCTAAGCGTAAAAAACCGCTGATTACGTTCATGTGCGCGCTTTCCCCCTCTAACGTAAACAACACTGATTACATTGATTACTTTCTTGGGTACTCTCCAAAATGGCAGATGACGTAACTCGGGGGAGAAGCATTGTTGAATAAATTGTTATTTTTGTTTTCTTTGCGCACAAAAAATATTGGCGTACCTTCGCAAAATTGAAGTTGAGCCACTGATGTCACATGGGCTGTTTTACCGATGTCCTTACTACGTTTCTGGACCTGGGAACATTACAGTTGCGTTGCTGTTGATGGGAGGGTCAGAGAGCTCTCAGATTCAGATGTTAATTTGTGTTCCGAAGATGAACGGAGGTCTTACGGGTTTGGAATGACACGAGGATGAGTAATTAATGACAGAATTTTCATTTTGGGGTGAACTAACCCTTTAAACGAAATCTTACGCAAGCCAGCTACTGCCTCAAAGTCAAAAAAAGGTAATTGTGAGATGAAGTTTAAAATATGAAATAAAATAAAATCACACTGTGACATTGCAATTGTAATAACAAGATATAGAGTCACATTGTAAGATTTAAAGTCACAATTGGGACAAATAATGCATCAGTTATTAGAAGTAAAGTACAAATGACAAGAAATAAAATTGTAATTGTAAGATTTAAAGTCGCAGTTTGCTTTTTAATTAGAACTCTGAGGCAGGATCAGGCATTCATAGTGTCTTTATAAGTAACATCAACTAAAATTCACTTGAATCTAAATCAGTGGTTCTCACACCAAGATATTTCCAGAATATTTGCTGTAATTAGGACAAAGCTGTTTGTTTTTATCCTTTATTTATTTATTTATTTGGTCATTTAGCAGACGCTTTTATCCAAAGCGACTTACAAATGAGGACAATAAAAGCAGTCAAAACTAACAAAAGAGCAACAATATATAAGTGCAAATGACAAGTCTCGGTTAGCCTAACACAGTACACGTAGCAAGGTGTGTATATATATTTATACATATACATATACATATACACACATACATACATACATAAATACATATATATATACACATACATATATACAGTGGGTACGGAAAGTATTCAGACCCCCTTAAATTTTTCACTCTTTGTTATATTGCAGCCATTTGCTAAAATCATTTAAGTTAATTTTTTTTCCTCATTAATGTACACACAGCACCCCATATTGACAGAAAAACACAGAATTGTTGACATTTTTGCAGATTAATTAAAAAAGAAAAACTGAAATATCACAAG